TAATATTTTGCTCCATTCTGTATTAATAAGTCAACTCCAGATGCTCTTCTCCTTTAATTCTAATATTTAATTCCTTTAAAAAAATGGCACCTCCAACCAAGCTTAATAAAAACAGAAGTAGCCACATTCCATCTCAACTATAGTTACACAAATTATCAGCCTTCAGTGATGTTACAGAACCGTATTTTACAATGCGATAACTCTCCAAGTATCTGGGCGTAATACTGGACAGATCACTCATCTTCAGGCAACACCTGCAAAAAACAACTGCAAAATTGAAAAGCCATAACAATTTCCTGAACAGACTGGCTAGAACGTCTTGGGGCATTGAGGCTAGCACTGAATGAACAACAACAGGTTTTGGTTTATTCCACAACCAAGTATTGTGCCAGTATGTGGCTTAAGAGCACCTATACCCAAATGGTCGATGTTCAACTCCGCCAGACAATGCATATCATCTCTGGCACATTGCATCCCACTCCTGTTCATTGGTTACTAGTACTTAGCAATATCATACTGCCCCACATTAAGTCAACAAGCTCTTGTTCAGCTATGGTCAATCATGCTGAACAATAAGGCCCTCCCTATTCATTAGGACAATGCACAGTCTATCACAAGATTGAAATCCCATAGGCCAGCATGGAAAATAGCTATTCACTTAGCATCTACCCAAATTTAGCCTGAGAATATCTGGAGAGAAGAATGGTCCAAGGTACCTTCTTGTGGCCTGACCATTAGTGATCCCTCTACCAAACGACCTGGTTTTGACCTGCCTTGCTCTGTCTGGATGAAATTGAACAGAATTAGGTGTGATGCTGGAAGAAGTGCCCCCGTCCTATATCAGTGGGGATGGAAAGAATCCCTTTGTTGTGCTTGTGGTGCTGATATGCAAACCGCTAAACATCCTGTGCAAGATTGTCCATGACTTGCATTCTCTGGTTCCTAGAAGATTTGCACAAAGCAATGCCAGAGGCGATTCCCTGGATAGCCAAACTGAACATCCAATTATGAGACCACTGACATACTCTCATAAAAGTTTTGTAGATAAGTAGGGCAATGTTGGAAGAAGGAATCTTTGCCTACTTTGCAAGAGTGGTTTTTTAAAGTTTCTTATTTGGCGGAAATGGCAAAGATTTCGGCTTTCTTGAAAGATCAATCGCAAGAGAAGTATTTTTTGGTATGGAAAAAATGGATAGATTTCATACAATATAAGTTGGATATAAAAAAATATTATTTAGTTTTTTGAATAATTTATATTTAAAATTTAAGATATTTTATAGACATTTTTTTTAATTTTCTTTTTCTTTTTGTTTGATTTCTTCTTTTTCTGTTTCTTTTTTCCTTCCTTCTGGTATTTTTTATATATATATATATATATATATATATATAGTTGTTAACTATTTTATAATTTGTTTAATTAATGTATTTAGATTTGCTTATGGTTTGTATGTGTATTAAGATTTTTCTTAAAAATTTTAATTAAGCCTGTATTCAGCTCTGGGAAGGTCGGGGGAGGGTTGGGAGGGTTTGGGGAAGGGAATTGTTTTGTAAAACTTAAAAATTTTCAATTAAAAAAAAGTTTTGTAAACAATTACGTGGATTGTGTATAAATGTTTAGTTCTCTTCTGTCACGTTCCTATCATATATTAAATAATAATAAATAATTCCTGCAAATGTCCAAATTTCAAAACCCCTATTTTATATACTCTTATTAAATATTCAAAACAATAACATTTTTCACAGGAAGGATTCTTATAATTGGTTTCAAAATCTTACTTCAATTCCAGCTGGACCTTTAGTCCATTTGTAACTTTCCAAAATCAACATTCTAATCACCCTTACGCTGTTTATTCCAAAAAAAGAGACTATTCTAACTCTTTAAACTTGTATAAAACTTTTTTCACTGAAGAATCGAAGATTCCGAGACAGTATCTCCTATAAGCTCCAGGATGAAGCTCCAAGTAATTTCCTAGACTTTTCCACACATATAATAAAGAAGTACTGGAAGGAGTGAAGCTCAGGCCACCAATCATTCTAGGAGACAAAATACTATTTTTCACCCAAAGATATTGTGATATGATTACTACACTCAAGTTGGTAGCTGCCTTAATCTCAATATCCAACAGAAAGAGAAGAGGCACCCAACCAAACTTGAACAGAGTGCTGGAGTGGTTCCATAAAATAGCAGCACAGGAAATCAGGAGAGGCATGTCTGAAAACTGTTCGTAAATTGCAGACTGACTGAAAACCTGATGGTGGCATAACAGGGCCTATTGTTGATCACTGAAAAGTAAATCAAGACTCAACTACACAGCAAAGTCTTTCTTAGAAAACAAGCTACTTAGGAAGCCTGTTGAGTTGTGGTTTTACTTAGAGATCAATTGTCCAATATGTAGTACACACTTGGAGAAAAAATAAAAGAGAGGAGGAACAACAACAAAAAATAATTATCTGGGCTATATAATAGGCTAAACAAACTATTCCATGTTCAGACAGCATATATGTCCTTTAAGTTAACAAATGCCAGTGTTAAGTGCTTTTACAGAAATAGTAATTGAGCAGAACTTAGCAACTTCTGGAGATTCTGTAGAAGAAGCTAATAGAAAGGATATGTTCTCCTCAGCTGACCTGCTGGCACAATTGGCTGATAAAAGCACTATTAAGTCACCACAAAATGGGCAATGCGGTAAACCAGGTGAGACTGAATTGATCCCGCCTTTCAAATAGGAGCAAAAAAATGATCTTATAAAGAATCATATCTCCCATTTAAATCCTTTGATGGCAAGGATTTTTTTTTTTTATCCTGCATCTAAACCTGGATACAGCTGTCCTGTACAGGATGACATTATTAATAAAGTACTGGCTGGGATAAAGGGTTTTCCAAACATGCCTCCTTTACAGCAATACTGGAACATTTATTTATGTTTGCTTGCTGTAGAGTTGCAGGCCAAACATCAACATAAAAATTAAAACAAGCTACCTGAAGGTAATTTGACAAATTTGTGATTTTGCATGTATCAAAGCCACCCCCCCAAAAAATGCAAAATTTTATGACTTTCACAGAAATTTTACCAAAGTGTTCACTTAGTAAAGAAGCACATGATTTACATTTGCTTTCCTTTTTCTTTGCGGAGGGATCAGGAATCCTTATTTTCTATTAGGACTAAAGAGAGCTGACTGAGATATAAAGCAATATCTTGATGCAGATCTCCAGAAAGACCAGAATATAAAGTCAATATTACAGATGCAGAATTGTTATGCTGAGTTGTCCTCTATACCATGCTTGGTGTTCAGAATTAATTTTAGCCTTCATTAACATTGGTATAAGCTAGACATGTGCAGGGCTCCCAAGATATACCTCAAAAGAACTCTAAAGAAAATAAAGGCTAATTGTTTCCTATAGAACAGGATAGTCAGGGATGTATTAGTAGATGGATTACAGATTGTCCTTCTGTACATTTAGCCATAAGAAGCAACTAGATGGCTTGTGTCTATATTTACATTGACCTACCCTAAGAATATAGTACTTCTGAAGTATACTGGAAAACTTCGACTTACAGCCACAGTTGAGACTGGAAGTTTAGTCATAAGTCATTGCAGTCATAAGTTGAGTGATCACATAACTCGATTCAATTTTAAAACTGTTTTTACAACGGTTAAGTGAATCACATGGTCATTACTCTGAATCCAGCTTGTTCAATGGGTATTTATTGCTGGAAAATGGCAAGAAACCATTGCAAAATGCAATCATGTCACCATGGGATGCTGCAATCAGTTGTAAATGTGAGCTGGTTGCCAAGTCAAGATGCAATCAAGTGACCACATAGGTGGTGTGTCATTTATAACTTTGAAGACAGATTGTAACTTTTCTTGAGTCTGTCGTAACTTCCAAGGGTCATTAAGCAACACATGTAAGTTGACGAATGCCTGTATTCCTTTCTTGCTGTCTCCAACTAAGAATGGTAGCTGACACACTTACAAAGAACCATTCTGGTCACTGAAATCTGGTTGTTAACAATCTCATCCTACTCAAGTTGGAAAAGAATTCAGTGTTAATTTAAATGACAAGGCACAAACCACTAACTGCTTTCCTATGTTTGTTAACTATTATAGCTTATTCCCACATTTTATGTATGTTCTTGCCACTAGAGAGTCCTGTGGCTATACTGAATTATTCAGTGACAAAGTTGAAGTGCGGTCAACTAAAATCAGTACATGTAATTAAAAGGAAGTTTTTTTTCCTCCCTGGGACAGGAAGAAGCTTTAATCCACCCTTCCAGTCTGAAAAGTGTACTTTCCTGGCAAAAACAACTTGAAGTGATCAGAAAGATAATTAAATCCAACTAACCTTCTCTTCAATAGTAAACTCTTTCCAAATTACATCACAAAAAATGCATATAATATTAGAGGCAGCTATCTGGATCCAGTAAAGAAGGATTAGGTACTACAGTCTGTGTAAAGTAGAGGCATAGAACTTCAACCAAGATCCCAACTAGCATTTAGGCTTGCAAGCAACCATTTGAATAGCTAAAGTCTTTAACAGAGACCCCTAAAGGAAAGTAAATATTTCATATGGGGAAATAGTTGATTTTCTATCTTTTGCAAGTAATCAACGCAATACAAATGAGCAAAAAAGGCATACACAGGCAAGCAATGTTGCAAAATCTGTCACTTTGTTTTGCAAGTATAATTCGGCTGAACATGGTCAGTGGATCATTGTGGTGTTCTCTTTAGTCTCTACCCATTTTTAACAATGTGTTCTTCCCACAAATTCACTCACTGTAAAATATTCTTGCATCACTCAGTTCCCACGATACCATCAGGTTATGTAAAATGGGTTGGGCTCTTGAAAATCACTCTGGGCACACCCACTTAAGGTTTGGGTGAAACACAGAGAGATAATACAGCTAGAAACTGTTCAGGCATGGTTTAAGAAAGTTTAAAGCAACTGCATTTTTTTTTCCCAAGGGAAAGTGAAATAGATTAAAGAGCTGATTTACCTTTGTAGGTCGTCAAGTCCTCTGACCATTGATGAGCTAGGGTTCAGCCGTAGGAAATTTTGCTTCAAATTGAGATGAGTGAGGTCCTGGCTATAAAAAAGATTGACAGGCATATCCTCCAGGCTGCAACATGAGAGGTCCACTGAGCTTATTCGCTGGGATGCAATCTAAAAACAAACCAAACCAAAAAAAAAAAAAAAAAGTTAAAAATGCTTATTGGCTAGGTAAGGATTCTTTTCTGCTTATCAAATTAGTTCAGCTATAAAAGCTAAGTATGTGCAAGGCTATTTTCAGAAAAGGGGGGGGAGAGTGTCTCCTTAAATATTATTCTTTCAATAAGTTCTCATATTTATTTCACACTTTCTTTTAAGTTTCTCTATAGCTGTGTCCTTCTGAATAGCCAGTATGTGTTTATCACCTAGAGGTGTTTGCATGTGGAAAGCCAAAAGAGATTAAAATGATGGAAGGAGTGTCATATTATTGCACTGCTAGCTCCATCCCTTTTGCATACGTGTTGTGACATCACACACATAAAAAGGGGCGATGCTTTGTATCCTGTGGATGTCTCAGTAGAAACATTTCTTTTTCTGTAGTTGTCCCTATTCTGCTCAATATACTTCATCCACTCAAAGATATCCTACTCCCTAGAAGAAATTCACCTATCATCTCTTATTGTTTACACCTGGAAATGTATTTCTGAATGCAACAAGCCTCCCTTATTTCCTTTAAGTTCCTCCTTCAAGCTCATTTTGTTCAGGAACACTTTAGGTCAATATCCTATCCTGTCTTATCATAGCTTATCCTATCCTATAGCTAAACAAAACAAAACACATATGAATGAAATAATCATATATACTGACTTATCTATGCGTCCTTCTTTCCTTTCTCTTGGTTGTGTGTATCTTTTATTAGAAAACTGCATGAGTTAGGAGCTTGGGGTTTTTGTAAAGCATCATGTATTTAGATCATTGTACAAAAGTAAGGGAAACCACAAGTGTAACCCTACAATCTTGTTTCCTCATCCAAAAGAAAGCAGCTTTATGGATGGACTTGCAAAGAAATCCAAAGTGTCCTTTGTTAAAATTCCATATACTATATCTGTTCTGTGTAGTTTTTTCTTTGATCAAAGAAAAATAAGCAGAAAAAATATAGACGCACCCTGTGTAGCTAGAGGCTCCCAAACGGAATCCCACGCATTGAGTTTAAAGAGTTCTTCAACGATCATGGGATTTCTCTAAATACTGAGAAAAGTATAGGCCTGGCATTGCTTCCAATACTGGTAAGTCCTTGACTTGAGACCACAATTGAGCCCACAATTTCCACTGTTGAGTAAGACAGTTGTTAAGTCAGTTTTTTTGCCACACTTTATGACTTTTCTTGACACAGCTGTGAATTGAATCAATGCAGGTGTTAAGTTAGTAACATGTTTGTTAAATGGATCTGGCTTCCCCATTGATTTTGCTTGTCAGAAAGTCACATAAGATGATCAGATGACCTCAGAACACTGCAACCGTCATAAATGCATGCCAGTTGCCAAGCATCTGAATTCTGATCACATGGCCATGGGGTTGCAACCTAAGTGTGAAAAATGGTCGTAAATCACTTTTGTCAGTGTGTTGTTAACTTCAAACGGTCATAAATAAATGGTTGTAAATTGAGAACTACCTGTACTATTTCCCTGGATTCTCTCCTCCAACTGTTAATAAAATCTAAAGGAACGGCGCAAAATTTTTATTTATTTATTACATTTATATGCTGCCATCTTGCTATCCAAAGTGACAAAGATGGTTAGATAGCAGTGAAAGAGCAAAACAAACCCTACAAAAGACAGCTTAGCTATGATTTCATGAAGCCCATGAAATACATTAAAACACGGAGAAGATGATTAACTATCATACCAGCAGTTATATTAGTTTATTTCCAACTCAGTTAATGATAGAGTAATAAAAGGTAAACTAAAAAAGAGAGAAGATTCAGCACCATTGTCTGGACACTGGACATTTCTCTACAGCAAATACCAGTAATAAGTGTAACGCTGCTTCACGTGTGCACCAAGGGAACATAATTAATCTGATTTATTATGGTCTTCAACTTTGTTACTTGGTTCAGTCCTCTAGCCTTAACTAAAAGCTGTATATAAATAACAATTTATTGCAGAAGCCACACAATGATCATTGAAAGCTATAGAAATGACTGGAGGGATTTTGTAAATGCTCAAAACTGCTCGAAATAGTTCCTAGAAGTTGAAAATGATTTAGTGGCATATAACTAATCCAACGACAAGTATGTTTTAGCTGCAGCATAATAATATTCACTAAATTGTGTTCACATTAGAACCAAGAAAGGGAAAAAAACTGGAAACCTAATCCAGTACAGTGGTGGACCAAAGGTGATGACACAATATTCATAATTTTATCTGTCTGTCTGTCTGTCTGTCTGTCTGTCTGTCTGTCCGTCCATCCATCCATCCATCCATCCATGCCCCTCTTGGGGTACATACATTTTTCAGCTGCATGTGAAAATGGCGGGATGAGAATGGGGATTAATGCAGAATAGGTGGGATGTTCACATAACTTATAGAACTTTATATAAATAATAATAAGGTTTCCAGAATATGTTTAACACAAATGATTGGGGCTTTATAAGTTCACAGACTATCTAACATTAATTAACAAAATGTTATTATGGCATTGTTTTTTAATTATTCTTTGTCCTCAATATTTATAATTCTGTCAAACAATGGGCTATATTATCTGTATGTGAGCACATGCACACTCTCAGAGAAATATGCTTAAAATTAAAGAAAATCTTTCTTGAACCTGATAATGTAGTTTATATTAGACATAAACATCATGCTGCAGTCAGTGTGTTAGCCTTTAATATGCCAAAGGGATTCTTTTTTCTCTCCAAAAGCAACAATCAAGGATGTATGCCTTTAGCAACAATCTAAGAATGATCTTTAATACTGTAAAATTAAGGAAGAAGTTATAACCTCAGGACAAGGAGTTAAGATTTGGTGACTCACAAAATCTTCTAAATTGGACTTAACTTTGTGTATATTTAGATTCATGTGTTGCTTACTGCACAAATTCTGTACAGCAAAATGCATTTTATAGCTCAAATTTTACTGGTATTACCACTACTTACTAAATTATTAATAGCAATAATCAATACATTGTGATTGTTACTAAATTGTAAGACTGTAACTTTAGTACAATATTTGTTTAAAGAATGCAATTTTAAAAGCTTAATCCTAGCATTGACCCAGCTGATAGGAATAGCTTCCAGATTAGCAGATCAAAGCTAAGCCACAAGGCCCCTCTCAAAACCCAATGAAAATACAGGTTGTCCTTGCTTAGCAACCCCCATTCAGCAACTGCTTGAAGTCACAATGGTGCTGAGTGAGGAGATTTATAATTGGTCCTCAAAGTTGCAGTCCTCACACCATGCCTGCAGTCACATGATCATGATCCAAACGTTTAGCAACCACTACACAATTACAATGGTCACGGTGAACCACAGTGCTGTGACGGTTATTTGTGACCTTTATGGTTGGCTTCTGAGAAGTAAAGTCAACAGGGAAGTCATCGGCCCTCAGGAGTCACAATCACTTGACGTCGCATTTAAGGACTGCAACTGGAATGGCTGTTGTAAGTTGGCACAGTCATGTGATTTTTACTTCACAATCGCACTGCATAGTGACAAAGTTCCTGGTCCCAATTACAGCTCGCTGAAGACTATCTGTAAATTTGGTTCAAGGGCCTCAACATCTAAGATCTACAAGCATTCTTACCTTCCAGGAAATTAAGGAAGCCAAAAATTGCCCCGTTAAGGGCCAGTTTTAACAAGACTTTTAAGTGAGAAAATGTTAAGGGCGGCTTGACAGACTCTAGCCATGATTTGAAGTCTAGAAGAAGTTGATGAGATATTGCAGAACCTAAAGGAATCTCTAATAAACTTGGGTAGTGTTACTGTGAAGGTTCTCAGAACTTTATAACAGACTGTAAATCATGAAACTGCAAGGCTCGTTATCTTGACTTTAGGTAAATTTAGGTCCACTGCTGACGAATCATAAAATTGCACTGGCAGTTTTATGGGTCCAAGTAGAAGCATCTCTCATCTGTTACTTCTGTGACAAAAAATGATTGAAAAGTAACACCCAGATATTTGAAGTCTTTTCGTTTGATGAAGTACTGCTGCGGATAAACCCCGAACTGTGGCAACATTTTGCTTGTTGCTTGGTGATCAGCACTAACAATTTTAGGGTAGCTAAAGGCCACTTCTTCCTTACTATAAAACATGGGAAGCCCTTGAAAGCTCTATCTTGGGCCTGTCGGTGTAGTAAAAACCATACCCGCAATACAGGTAGTCCTCGATTTACAACAGTTCCATTTAGTGACCGTTCAAAGTTACAACGGCACTGAAAAAAGTGACTTATGACCTTTTTTCACACTTACAGCCGTTGCAGCATCCCCATGGTCCTGTGATCAAAATTATATGCTTGGCAACGGACTTGTAGTTATGACAGCTGCAATGTCTTGGGGTCACGTGATCCCCTTTTGTAACCTTCAATGATATCAATGGGGAAGCCACATTCGCTTAGTGTTAGGGTTATAAACTTAACAACTGCAGTGATTCACCTGACACCTGCGGCAAGACAGGTCGTAAAATGGGGCAAAACTCCCTTAACAAATGTCGCGCTTAGGAATAGAAATTTTGGGATCGATTGTGATTGCAAGTTGAGGACCACCTGTATTGGCTGGCACAGGAATGAAAATTCCCATCATTGGAAGAAATTGTTTTCTCAACGAAGCTGATGAATCTAGAAATCTGGATAGGTATAAGTCCAATAGAGGATTGCCTTCTGGCATATACCGTATTTTCCGGCATATAAGACGACTCGGCGTATAAGACGACCCCCAACTTTGGAGAAGATTTGCATGGTTAGAAAGTCATCTTATACGCCGGAAAATACCGTATTTTCCGGCATATAAAACAACTCGGCTTATAAGATGACCCCCGACTTTGAAGAAGATTTGCATGGTTTAGAAAGTCGTCTTATACGCCGGAAAATACGGTATTATACAATGTTTTTTTTAAAACAGGCTATTTGAGTAAGGTATGTGATTAGTCATGTGATTAACCCTAACTAGGTGGGTATGTCCTA